TTTAGGTACACATCAACAACAACAAAATTACATTCATAGAGCGCCCTTCAAGTCGGGAGGACGTCCCAAAGCGCTGTATCCTTAAGTCTGTGAGAGGCTGAAATACTCCAGAACAAAACCAAAAGAAATGCTTTGTTCACCAATTATACTAAATAATTGCACTTTTCCTGTATCTATTTTCCTCTTTGTTTGTTTGATAAATTCCTTGTAAATATAGCATATTCTCTTGGTACATTGGTCACTATGTGTATGAATTAACATATATGGAAACATTCAATGTTCCAGCGGATGAGGCCTCGGCTGCTGGAACAGTATGAGAACGGAACCCAGATAGAAAGTATTTTAATGATCCTGGCCTGGAGCAAGTAACCCAACACTAACCCTAACATACAAATCCCAGCTGACACTTGTAGTTCTCTTTTTTAAATAACTCTAATAGTTTACATTTTTTTTAAGGTTTAGTGTTTCCAATCCTTCTAATTTTCTCCCCATTGGCATATGTCTCTCTGCTCCTGGTCTGGCCTCCTCTTGCTGGGCAGTTCCTTAGGTACTTGTTAGCCTCCAATACCCCGCCAAGAAGCTTTGGATGACGTATAAGCAGTGAGTGTTGGTCGGCCTGTTGAGGATGTCACAACTGAGTGACCTAGCTCTACCTGGCTGCCACACACACACACTGAGGAGTGCTGTAGAGTGACCAGGAGCAGGAACACTGGCTTATTTTCCCCTCACTAAACTTATGAAAGTTGATGCCTGCAGCCCAGACTGACACCAGCAAACTGAGTATGGACTGGGATTCGAAACAGCAAACTTCTAGTCCATTAATACCTGGCACAGTGGTAGTACTCACGCCTCTGAGTCAGAATTTTGTGGGTTCAAGACCCACGTCGGCATTTGTAATCACAAGGTCTTAGCTGACGCTCCAATGCAGCGCTGGGGGTGTGCTGCATTGTCGGAGGTGCTGTCCTTCGGATGAGATGTTAAACCTAAGTCCCATCTGCCTGTTCAGATGGATGTCAAAGATCCTTTGGCACTATATGAAAAGAGAAGGAGTTTCTCCCGGTGTTCTGGCCAGCAATCCCTCAAAATAAAATTGGTCAGTCACTCCATGGCTATATGTGGGACATAGCTGTGCACAATTGACTGACACATTTCGCCCACAAAAATATGTAGTCAATCCACTGTACAGTATGTCATGTGAAGCTCTTTGAGATGTCTCAACTAAGTGATATATCGAATGCAAGTATTATTATTATAAGTTGCAGCTCTATCCATACACCATTGGGTCTGCCCCAATGGTTTCAACAACCACAATAAATTGCATTTGTATAACTCCATTCAGGTCAGGAGGACATCCCAAGGAACTGGAGAGTCAAAAGAAATAATAATCCTTGCATTTGATATAGCACTTTATCATGTCTTCGAGACGCCTCAGAGCGCTTTACAAAATATACTGTAAAGTGAATTGACTGTATATTTTGTGGGCACAAGCATTTGTACCTGAGCTGCAGACTGGAGTCAAGAGTACTGAACAGTAAGTGGGTTGTGGTGGAAAGACAACCAAAGGCATGGTCGAAGATTAAGATCTTGAGATGGGCCTTGAAGGATGCAAGGGAGAGGACAAGGTGGAGGGGCTCCCGGATGGAGTTTTAATAATAATAATAATCCTTGCATTTGATATAGCGCTTTTCACGTCTTCTAGACGTCTCAAAGCGCTTCACAGAATAGACTGTAAAGTGAATTGACTGTATATTTGTGGGCGAAATGTGGAAGCCAATTGGGCACAGCAGCATCCCCCAAACAGTCGTGGATTGATGTAACCAATTTATTATTTTTTTCTTGAGGGATTATTGTCAGGCATCTGGAATAAGGAAACGTGCCCAAGGTTTCACCCTGCTGGAAATTGAACCCAGGTCTCTCGCTTGCAAAGCGAGTGCTCTAACCACTGAGCTACAGGACTCCATTTAGAGGGTGAATGCAGAAAGACTAAGGCTCAAATATATTCTGTAATTTTAGAGGGATTCATTAGTAACTTTCAAACTAAATGAGGTTATTTAGTAAAAACTATGAAAATCTGATATAGAGCCATCAAGCTCCTTCACTGGTGCAACATACCCTCATCCCAATTCTTTTTTATCTTATTTGATACTTTCATTTTCAAATATTTATCAAATTCCCTTTTAAACACTGTTAACTGGTCTTAAGACTTTTTAGCCAGTTTTCCCAAAACAAGGTTTGTTTTAAACCCTTTCTCCATGAGTCAAATATTCTAATCTCCCTCTTCATTTTTCCAGTGGGAATCCTCATCTTATAGTCTGCTTGGTATACATTTAGCTACCAGCAGGAATAATGTTTTTATTATTTTTTCTCTCAAAACCATTCAGAATTTTGAAAATCTCCTGTACATTCTCTTGCCCTTCTCTATTGCAGTGAAAGAGCCCCATTTTTTCAAGTCTATCCTCTCATCCATCTCTCCTCATCTGTGGTATCATCAGTATGAACCTTTGTTGCACCCTCTCAATGGTTTTAAAGTCCTTTCCATCTTTGGGAACTCAGAACTGTGTGCAATAATCCTGGTAAATTGATCCAAAACTCAATGTCACAGCAAATCACAAAGGATGACAATTTCTCCCTGGGGTCCTGGTCAACAAGCACAAGAGAGATGAAGAGCACCCTTTGGCCGATTTGATCTCATCCTTCCAGAGTGTCATGCTCTTGAGTGCATTGTTGGGCGACACAGTGGATTGTTGGGCTCCAAGGTGTGTTGCTGGGCCACAGGGGTGATGTTAGGGTACAAGGGGCATTGCTAGCTGCTGTGGGAAACTAATGTGCTTCAGCACAAAGTGGCGTATAAAAATATAAATGAAAAAATAAGGCTGAAAGCTGCTTGCCTTAACTCAAAAAACAGCTGTTGTGATATTGTTACGGAAGATATGTCAAATGTTCTGGTCTTTTGCCACTGCAACAGTAAATATGCTCCAGATGTTAAGCTAAGTGGATGTTTACAGTTTTTTAAAAAATCTAATTGCACTCCATCTTTCCCTTTGGGATTTGCTCTTATGATGATAAGGGACTGAAATGTAGTTATGGATTCATTTCCTGGCCAGTTCCGTATCAAAGATTAAATAGCTTGTAAGTGGCAGTTCTTAATGTTGATTTAGTTTTTTTAATTCCCTGACTATGACTTTGCATAGCTAGCACAACATACTTGTCCATGGAACTAGTTATGAATCCTGTTGCCTCACAACACGGCTGAACATTTGACACTGTAATGGGATTCATACTTTAAGCAAAAAGGGCAGGTTGGTGTGGGACATTCAGAAGTTCACACTTGTACAGTTTGAGTTACAGTTCTGAGCCTGAGGGTTAAGGCATCATGTAGGAGCATAGATGATAAGAAAGTTAATATTGGGTGTACTCTGGTCATTACTGACCTATAATCAAAAATAAAAAAGTGTAGTTAATCCTACAGCACCTTCTGTTCATATAGCACCCTCTATCTAAAGGAACAGCTATAGTGGTAGTAGCTGAGATTTACCATCTCGCCTATTTCAGACTCCCAAGCTTGCGGCCTGGGAATTATGGTGTGGGTGGCATACTCCCCTTGTTGGCCTTCACCCTTGTATGTTATAGCTAGTGAGGCTGGAGAATCCGAGGCCTGAAATTCCACTTGGTCATAGCCTGCAAGACCATTTTATCTTCAAATTTAAGGTCACACAGAATTGTGAAAAATTCTTAAATCCTGTTTTTAATTTTGAAGCTGATTTTCCACAGTTCTTAAGAGGAACTAGCTTCCAAACTAAGGTTACACTTAAGAATTTTCAACAATTCTTGCTCCATATAAAATTTTAAACCAAAATGGTTTGTAGACAAAGCTCAGATGACATTTGGGGTAGGGTTAATTTATAGCCAGCAAAACCAACACTCAATGCTGAATTTGAAAGTGAAGGCCCAGGCAAATAAGACAAGATAAAACTGTCTAGAAAAAACAATGAAAACTTTTTCCAACAGCAGCTGATATTGTATCCTATTGGTACACTTCGAAAGACTTGGAAAGTTTTTGATCTTTGAAGTCAGGGGGCTCCATCCATTAAATTTGAAAGAAATATTGCTAAAGTATGATGAGGACAGTGTTACACAGTATATCAATCCACAGCCAACCTCACTGTTTAGCTATTGTGCAAACTATGAGCATCATACTTAATCCAAAAATGTTGAAGTGCAGTGCACAAAACCCACATGCAACATATTGTCAATTATAATAATATAATAATCCTTATATTTGATATAGCATCTTTTCACATTTTCACACTATATCTCAATGTGCTTCACAGGACATAGTAGTAGTAACTGCTACTAGACAATGGTAGTAACTGTGTAACTTGAAGGTGAATGTGTTTGATTCACAAGGTAATAGAATCTTACATTAGCAGACGGCTTACTTGGGAAGAATTACCTGATAATATTGAGAGATTATACAAAACTTAGAGAAAACAATTGTAAAGTTTAGATCTAACAACAGCTGGTACAAAATAATAATTTCAAGCGCTGCAGTTTTCAGCGGAATGGAAATTGGCATGTGCTTTGCCTTTAGATGGATAGAACAATGCCTTACTGCCTGATTGTCCTTCAAGATTATTATTAAATGCACAATAAATTTCTTCTAGTACTTTATTACTTGAAATGAAAATTCCGTTCTTTACCCATAGGTTAATGAGCATTGCTTAATAGACCCCTGTTGAGCCAGGAAAAGACAGGCTGTGCCAATGATATATTATTTAGATCTATGTTGTACAACCTGCTTGTAAAACACACTTGCAGGACTATAACCCTGGAATTTGTTAGCCGAGTTTCCATATGGTCACAGTAAGATTTACCTGAATAAGCAAGTTTAAACAATTTAAGCTTAGTAATACTTAGATATGATCTCAGTCTATTTAGAGCTTTTGTGTTTTATGAATAAGCTTTGTCTTTAAAGTTTATCATCAAAGTATAGTACTCACCACAAATTGCTTTTGAAATGTAGATCTGCTTAGCATATATCTACACTTGTAGCAGAGAAAGAGATCCTGAATGATGCATTTTCCAAGCATACTGGAGCTGAATTATGGGCTGCATAGTTTTCTTACTAGATCTGTAATTAACAGAATTTGTTACTGCAGCACAGATCGATTTACAAAGTGCACAGTTCAGGATCTTGGTTTGACCTCTGCTGTTTAATGTTACATTCAGTTAACATTTGACTTTTAACATGTGATTTTGTATGGCTTTGATCAGATAAAAAAAAGAATCCTTGCATTTGATGTAGCGCCTTATAAAGTCTTTGAGATGTCTGAAAGCGCTTTACAGAATATACTGTAAAGTGAATTGACTGTATATTTTGTGGAAGAAATGCAGCAGCCAATTGCGCATAGCAATGTCCCACAAACAGTTGTGGATTGAAGTGACCGATTTCTTATTATTTTAAAAAATGCATCACAAATGTGATCTAAAATCTCAGTCATTCCTAAAAGCTGGAATTTTAGTTCAATGAGACAAGTTTGGATTAAACCCACAACATAACTCCACACTTCTCCAAGTCAACATCATGCATTGAATACTTGCTTGCATGCAAATATTTATGTGAAAAAACAAGTAGAAATAGTATGGTCTAAAATGCAGCATTTCTATTGTGATTCCTCAGTAAGGAATTCTATTAAAATTCCCACCAAAACCACAAGAATACCACTCCAGACATGGATTGCATCAGAACAGAGTTGGTCAATGGAAGGGGTCCTTATTTGTGAAATTCAGCTTCTTTATTAGAAATCCTGCATTTTGTAGCCTAAAGTTTTATTTCAGGGGATTTCTTAGTGTATTGGGCACTGCCCTTTAATGACTGGAGCCTGAATCTGAATTCTGCCAAGATAGATGGGAGGCGTGGATCCTTGTTTCTCGCTAAAATTCTATATAAAATGATTTAACTCAGTTGCTAATTTGTATGGATTCACAGTGCAATGGCTGATATGGCAAAGGGTAAATATCGTGCCTGTGTAATTGAGGGTGCTCTTCTGAGAATTGGATTAATACATATCTGACTTGGAGGAGATGATGTTGGGATGAAATTCTGGTGGTTGGTAAATTTGATATCCACTTATAATGGGATATTGTGTTTTGAGCATAGGTTTACATAGATAGTACAGCATAGAAACAGACCATTTGGCCCAAATAGTCTATGCTAATGTTTATACTCCACACTAGTCTCTACCTACTCCTTACACCCTCCCAGAACCAAAATACACACTGCAAGGTCACTGAGCAGTGGAATTTCATCCTGTTGATATTGGGTCACTTTTCCACTCTCCTAAGAAATGTTTGGATGAAGAAGCTGCTTTGACTCCTTTGATCTCATCCTACTGTCTTTCCAATACAAGATAAATCTATGAATTCATTAAGTCCAATACCTGCTCTCAATCACCCTTCTTGGTAACCCATTCCAATTGTTAATTTATTTGTGCAAATAAGTATTGCTCAGAATTGCTCTTCACTCACAATCTGTGTCCTCTTACCCTGATGCCTTGGCATGTCTGAAGACGTGAAAAGCGCTATATCAAATGCAAGGATTATTATTATTATTATTATTCTGTGAAGCGCTTTGAGAAGTCGAGAAGACGTGAAAAGCGCTATATCAAATACAAGGATTATTATTATTATTTTATAGCTGTGTAAAATCTCTTTTGAGGTAGAGGAGACCACTGTTATCTATTATTATAGGGTAATGATAAAGTAATCTTCCCAAACCGCCTCAGTTTACCATTAGGAGTCAAATGCTCATTAATTCTTTTAACCCAGTACCAAAAATGTTAGAAGTTATATTGAACTTATTATATCATAGTTATCTCAGATTAACATATTGATATATTTTCATGTATTTCCCCAATGTGGAGTCCTGAGCTCAATGGTTAGAGCACTCGCCTCACAAGCGTGAGTCCTGGATTCAGTTCTTGGCAGGGTGAAATGTTGGCCAAGTTTCCTTACTCCACACGCCTCTGTTTACCTAGCAGAAAGTAGGGACCCGGTTCTTAGTCAATTGGCAGATCGCTTTTCTGGAGTAATAATTCCTTAAAACAAAATAATAATAAATTGGTCACTTCAATCCGCAACTGTTTGTTGGACACTGCTGTGTGCAATTAGCTGTTGCGTTTGACCCACAAAATATACAGTCAATTCACTTTACAGTATATTCTGTGAAGCGCTTTGAGACATTTGAAATGTGGTAAGGCGCTATATCAAATGCAAGGATGATTATTAATATTATTATTATGTTTGCTGTGTCTTACATAGAAATCTACAGTACGGCAGGAGGCCATTTGACCCATTGAGTCCGCATCAGCTCACAGATCCAGGAAATCAATTCAATCCCTTGGCCGCACTTTATCTCTCTCTCTTTCCATCTCCACCACTCTACTCGGCAGGGCAATCCACATGCTACAGCTCTCTGAAAATAATCCTTCCAAGTTCACCTTTCGCTGTTCTTATAGCTATGTTATAACTATGTCCCTTACTTACTGAATCTGCTATCCATGGAAATAACTTACCTGTTAAAACCCTTCAAAAAATGTTATGGCTCTTTCAGATTCCCCCTCAACCTTCCCTACACCAATAAAAACAGACCCAGTTTCTTCAGTTTCTCCTCATAACTGTAGTTCTTTATCCCTGGAATCATTCTCATAAACCTGCAACACTCTAAGGCCTTGAATTATTTCCTGAAGTGAGGTGCCCAAAACTGTCTGCAGCACTCCAGTTGCTACACTCCATCCACAAAACTTTGATACTGAATCCCCTAAATCCAAGTCGAGGTCATTGATATATATATATATAGAAAAAAGGAGAGTCCCCAGCATAGATCCCTGTGGCACACCTATCTTTCTCCAACTGGAAACACAATCTTTCAGCTTTCTGTTTTTCAACCACTTAGACTGTATTCTTTCCCTAATGAGTGTTTGTATTCCCAATCAGCTGTGTGTAGCTCTTTGAGTTGTTCTCCCAGTGTGAAAGAATCTATATAAATGCATATCATTGTTGTAGTTGTTTTAATTTAGTACAGCTCAAAAATCAGATGACACTCAGCAAATCTTAACGAAAACTCTAAAATATGGAAATAATTCTGTTTCCAGAATCTCCTGCAGTCAATGTGATGGATTATACACTGAAGAGAGTTAAAGAAGGAAAACTCCAGAAAGGATCCTCACAAGCTTGGCATCAGGAGATACACCAGAATTCCTGTGGGAAAAATATTGCCTTGCAACAGACACAAGGTTAGTACAAGTATAGGAAGAGCAAATGTCAGGGAAAATAGAGTCTGCAAGAATCAGGTGAATCTCGTATCACAATTCAGCCACAATGAGAAGGTTTGTGTGGGGAGAGGAGGAGGAGGAGGCTGGGTTGAGTACTTTCAGTATAACTAAACTGTATTTATCTTACAAAATGTTTTTTTTCTATGTTTTTCTCACGATGAGAAAAATTTACATAATCTTCCCCGTGACAGCACAGAGACTGAGAATATTTGGTTTTGACTTCGCTAGAAAGACACTAAATTGGGACCTGTTACACAGTCCCTCTTCAATGCAATGATTTCACAGTTGACAGATTTTTTTAGCCCTGGGTTCTTTGGAAGGCATTGAAGGAGTACTTCTTTGAGTCGCGAAAGAGAGAAGGGCTTTATCCTACGTGAAGGCGCTATATAAATGCAAGTTGTTGTGCTCTTCCTCCCCAGGCTCCATGAGCCTATCACCCCCATCTTTGCTCAGCTCCATTGGCTTCCATCTCCTAAAAGTAATCAAAAAGGCAAATGGCATGTTGCTTTTATCTTAAGGGGCCTGGAATACAAAGGGTAAGAAATGATGCTTCAGCTGTAATAGGGCAATAGTCAGACCCCATCTGCAGTACTGCGTTCAGTTTTGGGCATCACATCTCAGGAAAGATATATTGGCCTGCAAGGGATGCAGTGCAGATTTACCAAAATGTTACCAGGCCTAAAAGGGTTAAGTTAATAGGAAAGGCTGCGTAAACTTGGATTGTATTCCCTTGAGTTTAGAAGGTTGAGGGGTGATTTGATTGAGGTATTTAAGATGATAAAGGGATTTGATAAGAGAAGCTATTTCCTCTGGTGGGGGAATCCAAAACAAGGGGACATAGTCTTAAAATTAGAACCAGGCCATTTGAGAGTGAAATCAGGAAGCATTGTTTCACTCAAAGGGTGGTAGGAATCTGTAATTCTCTCCCCCAAAAGGCTGTGGATGCTGGATCCATCCTCACCTTCAAGAGTGAGGTTGATAGATTTTTGGTAGGTCAGGGTATTAAGGGATATGGGGAGAAAGCGGGAAATTGGAATTGAAATAATTAGTTGAGGTACAGATCAGCCATGATCTAATTAAATGGCGGAACAGGCTCGAAGGCCGAATAACCTACTCTTGTTCCTATGTTCCTAAAGATCCTTGTTCTCACTTGTAAATCCCTCCATGGTCTCTCCACACCCTACCTTCTACGACTTCCTTCAGCTCTACTGACCCAGCCGCTCCCTTCAATCAATGGCCTGTTTCATGCCACCCATCCTATCCGGCCCACCATCGGCAGGTGGGCTTTCAGCCATTTTGCCCTTGTTCTCTGGAATTCCATTTCCTGCTGATGTGAAAGACATGTAAATTTGTATTGTGTTGTGTTGTTGACTAACTCCTCCATTACCGTGTCTCAGAAAGTACAAAAAATACCCTCAGCCAGTCACGGCATCACACGATTGGTTCAGATGAAGAAAGCCTTTTGGTTCATCTGATCTAATCCCTCCAGAACACCCACCCTACAACAAGAACAACAAGATTGTATTTATAAAGCGCCTTTCACGTCGGGAGGACGTCCCAAGGCGCTGGACAATTGGGTCGGGACCCGAGCAGGGGGGAAATGGTCAGGGTGAGTGGAGGGAAGGGAGGGAGCGAGGAGGGGGTAGAGAGTCGAGAGGGGAGCTGAAGGCACGGTCGAAGAGAAAGGTCTTGAGACCGGCCTTGAAGGAGGAAAGGGAGGAAGCGGCGAAGGCACTGGGGGATGGAGTTCGAGATACTAG